TGCTGATCCAAATAAAAATCTAATCTCCGTAATAAGAAATGTTGAACAGAAAGCTTTCACTTGATCAATAGACAGCAATAACGATTTTTTTCATGAAAGAAATTTGGAACCTGAAGAAACGAAAAGCAGAACAAATGTCTTCAAAAAGATCTAGGAATAAGAATTTGAGAATGCTAGGTCAAGAATACACAGGTTTTAGAAAGATTTGTGAGGAAAAATTTTTACAAGACGTTATAAGTCCTGCGCGAAAACTTGGAAAGGCTTGTAAGTCAAACAAATGCTTACAAAGTAATATAATTAACTGCAAAAACTTTACACAAAGTGAAAGATAAGGTATTTTTAAAAAATTTTGGGAGTTGAGCTGGGTAGCCAAGAAAATCTTTGTTTCATCTTTAGTTGATAAAAAATTGACTAAAATAAAAACTACTGAAAGGGCAAATACAAGGCGAAGTATTACTATAGTCTATTATTCAAAGTTAGATAACAACAAAATGAGAGTATGTTTGAAGACGTTTTAGGAACACTGGGTATTAAAGAGTGAACAGTTAGGTACTGGCTAGAAGAAAAATCTAATAGGGATTCTTTGAAAGAGTTAGTGCAAATATTTTAAAGAGCTCTGCCTAAATTGCGTTCTCACTGCTGCAAAAAAGAAAGTAAAATGTTGTTTCTAGAACCATTAATACAGTCTAAACTTGAGCTCTATCGTATCTATGTTAAAAATGCTACAAAAATGGACAGAGAGTGGTTTCCAGAAACCTTTTTGAAGATATTTTGAAAGATGAAAACATAGCAATGTTTCAACCAAAGAAAAATGCATGTGATCTATGTTGTTCATATAAACCGGCACCGGCGTTGTTAAGGTGCCGTCAAAACAATTCAGTTTCAGCATTCGTTAATTACTTGTTCAGAAAGGATCAGTACAGAATAAAAATCTTAATTTTCCTATTGACTGTATACTGTCAATATAGCTATAGCTCAGGCAATCGCTTCACAAGGTTTCTTAAAAATATCGCTTATATGTATGGAGCCGGGATTGAACTCCAGGTTCATAATTCAGAACTCTAACCAATGCGCATCATCTTCTATTATCTTCGTGGTTGTTGTCATATTAGAAACAACAAACATGACAACAATTAAGGGACTGGTGTTAAATAATAACTGGATGGAGTACACTTAAAAACTTTAAAATTTAATTTTATTGATTATAACTTAAAATTGGTTCTCAGTTTTATGGTTCTAGTGTCTCTCATTATGCGCAACATTTTTAGTAAAATGTTATTTTTATTTGGTACTACCAAAATTAAATTTTGAAAAAAACAACTTAAATATTGGGGCGGGAGGGGGGAATACCAAAACCCCTGCATTTAAAAAAAAAGAGGAGGATAAAGTCCCCTCTGCCCGTATCTTTTAAAGTTTATCTATATTATCAATGAAAGTCTCTTTTTTTATTTAGGAACCTATTCTTTTTTGGCGCCCATAGGACATCTGCCGCCCGAAACAAACTGTCCCTTTTGCTCCCCTTCCCCTCTTGACGGCCCTGACTACAACTGTGTACAAATGATACAACCAAACAAGCCCACTTTAATAAAATTTCAAGTTTGAAGTAATTTTATGATGTTTTAGTACTAAACTACATTAAATTCAAAATTCAAAGCATAATAACAATTTAAATACAACGCATCTTTGAAAAAAACCACTATTATTAAAACACAAAATTCAATTTTTTAAAAATGATAAAAGGCTGACATCTGTGGTTTTACCAGTGTGGTCTTCATATGTGTTCATGTATATCACATACAGGTATATGATATGCATATATTGCATATCATATACTATATATGCATATATGTGCATATATATTCTTGAGAGGGGAAATATGTTTGAATACTATATCAGTCATAAGTCAGGACTACACAACATAATAATATTACATTTTGTAGTCCTGATTTTTGTATATATACTATATATGAATATATACTATATATACTATATATGAATATATATGCATATATATTCTTGAGAAGGGAATTATGTTTGAATACTATATTAGTCATAAATCAGGACTACACAACATAATAATGTTATATTTTGTAGCCCTGATTTTTGAAATTTGGACATGTTAAACATTTCCAAGTTTCAAAAAATTTTGTATAATATACAACTTATATTTTTGAAGTGTTGTCTCATATCTCAAAGACTTTTTCAGATTTTTGCAGAAAAGGGTTTGGCAGAGTAAAATTATACTGAGCAAGAATCTTTTAATTAGAAAAAATTACATTGTCCAGTTTAAAGAAAGCTGGAAAATGAAATATGAAATTATACTGCAAATTTCTTTGTTAATTTTGATTACATTGAATATAATCAGGGTTCATTGACTACTTAATGCTGACAACATGGAATCCTGCCAGAATCTTATAATCTATAAATTAAATCCTGCCAGAATCTTATAATCGATTTCAAATCTTACCAGACTCTTGTAAGAATCTGGAATGATTTGCACCTGCATTATCAAAAAGAACTTTGTGGTGTCATACAATATTTGTTATTTCCCGTATTTGGAACCGGTAATCAATTATAACCGGGTGAAGTACAAAAAAGATAATTAACGAAATTTTTATGATAATTTGAAGTTTCTTACTGTATGCGTACAATTTTTTTTTTTCAACTTAACTATAATAAAAATAATAAATCAATTTTTACTGACATTTTAATGTAATGCATCAAAAAACTATAACTATACAAAATCATTCTAAATATCGTTAACTAAAGTGATTGCTTCAGTGTGTTCTTTTCATAACGGATTTTATTAATTATTTTATGCTATCTGTTTTTGTTTAGCAACTCTTTACCAGGAGTGGTACGCATTAACTTTTCGTTAACCGAATTTTCAGAAGTAGAAACGTCTCGCATAATATCTTTTTTAAAAAGCACCATTAAAAAACGTTTGTCTTGTGCATTCATTTTCTCACCTCGATTCTTTTTCTCTAAAGTATTTGCAGACTTTGTTATCGACAAAAGTTTGTCGTAGATGGCCTTTGGGTTTTTTCTTATCAAAATTAAAATATCTTTAATTTGTTCCCGAATATAGGGAATGAAACATCCTTGAAAATCATGATGTTGAAATAAACATTTAACTTCTAAATTTTCATCACCATTCCATCCACGTTTCAAGGTACTTTCATCACTAATGCACTCTGTTGGCAATTTTATATTATCTGAAAGATTTTCAGATGTAAAATTATTTGAAAAGTTTTCAGAATTTATAATGCTAGTTTCCAAAAGTTTATTTTTAATTTGATTTGTAAGCTCAGCAGCATTAGTCGTTAATTTGTATAGATTATAATTGCGAGAAGCTGCTTCTCTTTTATGCTTCATATGGTTCGCCAGCCTATCCTTAATACTATTGTTTATTTCTTCTGAAGCATAGAAAGTGGTTGTGACTTTTTCTAATGAAGGTTGCTGAAAACTGGACATTGTCTATTTGATTTTGTGGCTTTTTTTCAAAAAGATCAAATCGTGTTGAAATCCATTTAGTGACTTGAAAGACCATGTAACAAATAAACAGCTGCCTGGATCTAATGGATCTTTTTCATTTATTTGGACAACTGTATCCCTAAAGACATTTACATAACACCTCATTTGAGTATTCATATCAGGTGTGAGGGCGACTTGTGCTGAACCGTATTTTCGCTTAGTTTTATGAACTTTTACGTTTACTATAATGTATAACTACTTGTTTTATCAACGTATGCAGCTTGAAATTCTGAAAGAAGCATATTTATGCAATTCCCAGCACAAGCAGAGTTTCTCAAACAGCATAGACTAGCTAAATAATCTCTAACTGTAACAAAATTTTCTTTGCTAAAATCACTTTCTTCAAATAATATCGAATTGTTCAGTAGTTTTTGTGCTTGCTGAGAGAGTTCAGAATTGTAGACTTTTTGAAATTCATCCGGATCAATCATATTAGCGAGGTCTTTTTCTAGAACATCCCACTCTCGCTCATCCACTTCATTGCAATAGCTTGCACTCCAGTTTTTAATATCTTTTAATGGCCCTTTCATCACATCAAGATTAATAGTGCAAGAAACGAACATCTTTTTTGCCCAAGAAACTGTTTTCTGTCAAATTAAAAATTCTATAAACTCACTCAGTGATCCAAGGAAGATCTTAATGATCCTGGTAGGTGACCTTTACCATTTTTATCTTTTCCAGGAGCCAACCCAGGGAAGGAGCCACTCCTCCCTAAGTGTTTGAAGATTAAACAAAAGATCAAGTGATGTCAGAGATGAACTAATACAATTTAGAATACATTTAACTTGATTTTTACATTGGCGAGCATGTTTTTCCTTTTTTTTTACCACCTTTAAAACCTAATAAATAGATTTCGAAATTATTTAAAACAGCATTAATGGATTTTTCATTGATATCATCAGGTAAATATTCATCTTTAGACTCATCGGTTTCATCTAACTCAGCTAAATAATCTGAGTCAGTGTCAGTTGAAGAATCAATTTGGGAAATAAGTTTTTATATTTATCAGAAGCAAATTTTGTAGAACCATTTTCTGAATCGTTTGAATCATCAGAAGGCAATGGATTGATTGAGGTGAAAATTGACATTATTTGTTCTTTATCATTTTCCGAAATAACTATTGCTTTTTTTTCATTTCATCATACAGCTCAGCATTATTGTAAATATCTGGGTGAGATTTTCAAAAGTGGTCAGATAAGTTTGATATTGTTGATAGGCATCCATCAACTGGGCACGACTTAGTAACACTTTTGCGAGGTCTGATTACATCACAACTTTTTGCGCAACTTTTTCTTTTCAAGTCCAAAGGGGGGAAACTACTTTTGACGCAGATTTTTTAATATAATGTAATCCATTTTTTTGTTTTCTTTTATATGTCTCGATAAATTAATAATAACTGACCTACACCCAGGTACAGGGCATGCCTTTTACTATTGGTTCTTTTGTTCTTTTGATTTTTTTAAGAA